AGCAGCAGCAGCAGCAGCAGCAGCAGTGAAAACGATCCAGGGGCTACAGTTCATTTCATCCAAAGGGAGTGAATCCCAACTTATGGTTGTCTCGCCCATCAGCCAAGGTTGCATTAAACTGGGAAAGTCCTGAAAAAACCAGGAGGAAGGTGACCTCGCTGACCTTTGCCCTTGCTGGCTGGGGCTTCTGGGACTTGAAGTCCATGAATTTAGCGAGCCCAGAGCCTGCATGCAAATGCAAGTAGATAAATAGGGACCACTTCGGTGGGAAGGTAACAGCGTCCCGTGTCTAAGTCGCACTGGCCAGGTGACCACAGAAGATTGTCTTCGGACAAAACGCTGGCTCTATGGCTTGGAAACGGGGATGAGCACCGACCCCTAGAGTCGGACACGACTGGACAAAAATTGTCAAGGGGAACCTTTACCTTTACCTTACGAGCCTCCCAGTTCTGGCATGGAGGGTTCTCTTGATTCGGTTTTGTTTTTTTAAGTCTCTCTGACATAAACAGATACATTGGCATCTATAGAAACACGCACAGACATGCACACAGTCAAGGTGCAAGGATTTGCATTTTTGGAGGGCAACTCCCAGAACCCCTCAGGTGCCTGGGGGGGATTCTGGGAGTTGTAGTCCAAAACACATACACCTCTGTGCCCCTGTAATAAGCACACAGACACACTCTTAAATACTGTACATCCCCATCAATGTTTACGTGGATGACAGGCAACGAGGAGGCTGATGCCTAAAGACAGTGGCCACTAAAGTGCCTTCCCTTTCCATCGTGCAAGATCTTGGGGATGCCCGTGAGCTGGCCAATTCACCAGCGTGAGGCGTCTCTATCACAAGCCAGAAGGGGTGAACAGAACCTCCTCCATATTGAATGGAAGCATCTGGGGAATATCAGATGCTTATTTTGGGCCTAAGAAAATTTCTGGGCACCTGATTTCCCCCCCCTACGCACACACACACACACACACACACACCCTGTATGTGGGGTGGACACCGGTGTGGCCCCCAAAGGCTGTTTTTTCCCAACCCCCGGGCCTTCCTGGCACCTCCTTTTTCTATCCAAAATGTGGATTCCTCCTCCGGGAGGCCTTTTGAGCCGGCCGAGCAGGCTCCCCCCTTCCCCAGCCTGGTCTAACAATCTTGAGGCAACGCTTGAGTTTCTCGTGGGACTGCTTTGCACCCCTAAAAAAAGACCCCCCCTTTCAAAGATTCCTGTCAAGAAATCCCGTGGTGGTGGAGCATGGGCTTCTGAATCCTTTTAAAATGTGAAGAAAGGCCTTTCTCTGAGGGGGAACAGGGAGCTTGCCCTCGCCCTCCCTTCGGTCTGTACCTCAAGGGGGTCACGCACGCATGCACGCGCACCCCCGTGGCACCCTTGGGGCTCTTCTGGCCATGCTTTGGCCCCACAAGGACAAGGGGCCTACAGGAGAATGGGGTCGGTCCTCCTTCCCCCCCAGGGTGTGGGGCCGCCTGGCCATGGAGCAGGGCATGGTGAAAAAGGCGGGAAAACCAGATTGGGGGGGATCGTGCGAGAGCCACTTGGGGTTGCCCCCTTTTTAAGTGTTGCCCCCTCCCTTGACCCCGGCCCTTTCGGGGCAGGCTAAGAGAGAGGCTTGGACCCCAAAAAGTGGGCCGTGCTCGAGGGCGGGGGGGGGAATCCTGCGCCCCCCACAATCAGGACGATGGGGGGCTCTTGTGAGGAAAGACGAAAGGGTGCAGGAAGACCACAGGTGCCACGTGTGACCCACGAGGAGAGACACCTTCACCCCCACACCCCATTTTGCACCCATTGGGGGGCATTGTGAAGGTGGGGGACTGTGGAGCTCCTCACCCTCCTCCGCTCGGTGCCCCGCTTGGTTTGAGGGACGGGGAAGAAAGGAAAAGGCCAGGAGCCAGGCCGGGGGAGGAAAAGCCATCTTGCCCCAGGGACGGTGCGCTCGGCCCCCTTTCTTTGGCCTCGTTCAAGGAGGGGGGGGAACGTAGGTGGCCAGAGGTGCCCAGGGGGTGGCCAGAGGTGCCCAGGGGGTGGCCAGAGGTGCCCAGGGGTGGCCAGAGGTGCCCAGGGCTGCGCCCGCCGGAGGCTTCTCCTCCTCCTCCTCCTCCTTTTCTGTATTCCCTAAACCAGTTTCATTTCCCCTAAGTGCCCAAGGGGGCGAAGAATCTAGTGCAGAAGAAATAATGTGGAGGAGATATATTTCCTTCACATTATTTCTTCTGCATATATAGTTCTTCTTTCATATATATATTTAAAAGAATATGGTCGGTGGATCGAGATTCCCGAAGATTTTGTGACAGACAAACGCAGAGACCTGTTTCATCGCCCAAGGCTCTGAAAATCTATTGCTCAGTGACAGAAAGACCAGGAGTGCCCCAAAGAGCACCCAGTGACGAGGCAGGGGATCAATATTTAAAATCAACGTTTAGAAAAGAGACTGCTGGTTCGAACTGTAAATATTTTATTATAGTCGTAAAATTGGGAAGTCTGAAGCAAAGAAGCACACGCTTTGCAGACCCCAATAAACTATTCATTAGAAATCAATACATTCTTGAGCCAAAATAATACTTCCATTACACCTCAAGAAAACTACAGCATAAAATTATTAATATTTTTTAAAACTTGTGATAACACTTCTAGTAAAGGGAAATGAGCTTATCATTAGATTATTTCCAGTCCAGAAGAAATCAGATGTACTGGAGAAATGTCCAAATTCATGGGACCTTAGTGGGTTGTGATGCTTTTTTTTAGCTGTGATTTGACCCTTGGATCACACCATACGTTACAAGCAGCTGCTGTTCTTCTCCTCTTCCTCCTCTTGACTCTTCTCATTCCTCTAGCAAGACCTTACCAATGAACTAAAAATCCAAAATGAACTTCTTCTGCAAAAAAATACTTGCTGTGTTTTCATAACTGGTAAGAACCCTGCAATTTCCTCTCAAACACAAACTCTTATATACACACCAGTTCGTCATCTATATTAGCAATAAAGACACCTGTGGATCTTAACAGTTTAAAATCCTGTAAAGAGCTAAGAAAGAAAGAACGACCAGAAGGCAGCTTGAAAAAGCCTGAACAGCCTGCTGTTTGTGAAAATCAATAAACTAAGCAAATTATCCTGAGGTTTCTATTTATTCCCTTAAAAACTTAATATGAAATTTTAACATTTGCTTTCTTATCATGGTGTTCTATGAAAACTGTGGTTCTTTCTTCACTTATTAAAATTAAGGCTAGACAAGATGCGATTAGAACTTCTGGAATATTAATGTATAGATTATTGCTTGAAAGCGATTGTGAATTAAGCCGTCCTTGAATGAAGCAATTTGTCATCGCTTGTTTTATAATTAGGAAGTTTTCTTCAGGCGCATTTTAGACTAAGTTGGGTGTCTCACTGCACATGCAACATTTACCATGCCAGAAACCCACGTAGCAGTGGAGAAACGGAATTAAACATGGATCAGGGTATGCAAAGCCCTATGTAGGTAATTGTTTTTTAATCATTTTATTTTTTTTTTGCCCTCTCAGAATTACATTTAAATGCTTCCAGAGAAAAGCCATTTTTGGTTGAAATGTGAGGTGTTTGAATTTATGAGGATATTTGAATTAAAAGACTATGCTTTTGACTGTAAAGATAAGAAGTGTGGGGGAGGGGAATAAATGGTTTTGACAGATTCCTCCTTCAAAACATTAAAATACTAACCAAAACAGTGGCTGGGGTAGGAAAATTTAGATTAGAGTCACAAGCCACTCTCCAGCTAAGCAAAATGGGTAGTAAAATCACCAGGATTATCTAAAACTGTTCTTTTGGTTCACTGAATTTTCTTCGCTTGGGGCCCGAATCTTGACTAGGAGAGAATTCAAAATGATAGACCTGAAAAAATATATATAACAATTATGGTCTGTTGCAGAATGCAAAATTTCACATATACAATTGTTCTATCCATGATAAATAAACAGCAATGTTCACTTAAATTGCATTTTTTTCTCTTCCCTCCCTGTCCTTTTTTCCAAGACAGTAAGTTTGGATGCAGGTACTCTGTTACAGTTTGCATAAAAGACACTCTGGAAAATCTGAACAGCTAGATAACAATGTAAACAATATTTCTAAGGAATAATAATAACAAAGAAGAATGGCCAAATCTGTGCCATTTTTAAAGTGAAAATGTTGATGCATGTAACCATCCTCAATATGTAAAGAGAACCTTCCTCAATAAAGTGTACTCTACACATGCAGACTACAATCCCCATTACTGTCTGACAAGCGCAGCCATTGACAAAGTTGTCTCAGGATGATGGAGGTCAGAGTTTAACACCTCTGGAGAGCACCCCTCCGGGGAAAACTGATCTATGTAGGTGACGGGAGAGTCAGGAGTCGTAGCTAGGATGCACGTGCCAGTAGGCCCAGAGTTCTCCTTGCTCCCACTTCCTCTTGGTGGGGTTACATTCTCTGCAGCACCAGTTCTACAGACCTAGAGGTGACCGGCCCTGCTGGTGCCGTACTTACATGGAAAGAAACCTCAATGAAATATAATGGGAGCTACTGTAGAATAAATAACGCAACAATTACAGAGGACATCTCAGGCCAGAAACAGACACTAACAAGCACATAATTAGTGGGAACCAAATTAATGTTAGCAGAAAGGTGACTAAAGCAGTTCTTTTGTCTTTGTGAAATCGCTTCAAAATTAAAGATGGATCACCAAAGGAAGCAATCTAATTTGAGAAGCAGCCTACAAATTTGCCTAATTCTGGAAATGGGAGAAGGTTGTGCAGTGACTCTTGGTTGCTCCCATTAGTTAAGATAGTCCCTTTTCCAGACCTGGGATTTCTCTAAGAAGCTCTGTTTCTGGCCTCAGTGAAATCAGTAGGACTGAGGTGAGTGGACCTGCGTGGAGTCACAGCCTGTGCCCTCTAATCTACAAAGGTAGGAATACATGGCAGCGGGTCGAAGGGAAGAAGAAAAACCTTCTGCTGGATTCATCAAGGATGGGGCAGAAACATCTACAATAGCAATTCTTGTCACTTTCTACATCATACAGCATAAGAACTTACTGGCTTGACTGGTTCTGAGCCACTTCTCTTCTCGCCCTTAGCTGCTAACTGTTTTTTGCTGCTTTCCATGACGCCCTTGACAGAGACAGAGGAACTGTTAGCTCTGGAAGAGAGTTCTGCAGAGAGCTATTAAGAAGCTCACTGCGCATCCGTAGGCTGTTACTCTTCCTTAACTTGTGTTAAAAAATTAATGAAGGACTCTTTAAGAGTGGCGACAGTCAGGGCAAGCCTTATCTTGGTCCTGACAATGTATGATTTACTTTCACTGCCGTACATGCTGAAGGACATTTCCCAAGTTGCTGATTCTGGCAGAAACCTCTCCCACAGCACTCAGACAGGTGAACATTTTTGCTAGTGAAGCAACTGGCAAAAGGTGTAGGGTCTTGTACCAAGCTTTGTTTTTGTACAGATAAAATACCATACAAAGCAGGGCCAAGAAGGAAAAAAAATTAGGATAGAAACAACCTTAGTATAATGGATGTAAGGTCAGTGTTGGTCACTCAACAACTATGAGAGACCTGGGCTGAAAGTTATGTTCAGATTTTTGAAGGTGAGCCATCTGAGGTGGAAAGATATAATGAAACTGTCTCCCTGTTATGGTTACCACTTGATCCATAATCCTATTGGTAGCAGAAACCAGACTTTCAACAGTTCCAGCTGCTGCTAGCATCATTCAAGGAAAAAAAACATTCCAAAGCTTCAGAGAGAAATCAAGAAGGATTTCTATGGCTTGATTTCATAACTATGTCATGTTAGCACCACACGACGTCATCATGAAAATAATTGGAGGCTAGGCTTCCTGACCTCCCCCTGGAGCCTTGACTGTAAAAGGAAAGAGGTACCCACTGACAACTTAGGGCATGGCAGCTATTAATGGTGAGCTTCCCTACACTTGGCCTCAGCTTGCACTCTCATTTCTAATCTCTCTCAGGTCCCACCCATCCTCAAATCTGCAGGCTGTCATTTAAGTCAGTGCTGCTACAACCTCTGTGGTTCCTTTCCCGCTGTATACTCATCACAAAACAGATGAAATTTGAGCTCACCTTTCTAACTCTAGTTTAATTAAAGATTTCAGAATCTAATGTCTTTCTAGAAGCATGAACTATCAGCAACCCTGTAGTCAAATGTGGGAAACCATTTTCCCTTAACAAAAAGAACAAACCAATAAGCTTGTTCACAACGCTCAACAATTTTAACTTGATTATCTCAAACGCTCAGCTTTGGTGACACAACTTCCATATTATTTACAAACATCCATGAACCAGTATTTAATTTTTGAAACTGTAGCAGTAGTCACTCTGCTATGGCTCCACCACTTCTAGCTTCAAAATTAGCTATTTTTCAGAAGTGCCAGGCACAAAAGATCGTAACCTTGGTATGGCACATTTCCTGGAAAGGCCTAAAATGTTTTCAAAATGATGAGTAGGATGTTATGAATACAGTTGTGGACTCAGATATTGTTCACATTCCCATTCAGCTGTAGAGCCCAGCATGGGCCCTTACAGAAATTGGAAGATTGCTGTGAGGATGATCAAAGGAAGAATCATAATAAACTAGTGCTTACTACAGAAAAGAGTCCTGGAAAGGAGTTAACAATTAGTAACGAATTAATCCAAGCCCAAATTGGGACAACAGTGAGGAAATTAATAAAAACAGGGTCATTTCAGCCCAGGAATTAAGAATTTTATTACGCTGGCCAATGACCGTAATAAAGATTGAATGAATGAATGAAAATTGTATTAGCAATGTAAGTATCAGCTACATATTCCAGAATTACTTTTCTCATTATAATTTTTAACAAGTTTTTCTTATTCTTTAAAAGCAGGACACTAACTCTGTTACAGTGAAATCTCTTCCCGCTTCGGGTCTTCCCCTCAACTACTTCAAGCTCTGATGTCTTATTTATTAGATGTTCCACCTAAAAATAGTTACACAAGCAAACAGTTGAAGAGAAGAGCATTATTTCAGCTGGATTTGGGCTCTTTGGCTTCATAAACATACTTTAAAATTTCAGGCTTTACTTTCATGAAAACTCTGGCTTCCCTGCCCTCCAAATTCAATCCAATTTGACTAGAATTCACACACTGATTTCATTATCAGTATAGTGTCCCACTGTAAGCTTCAAGAGGGCCATCTGCCTTGTTATTTATAGCCATACTTTAGTGCACAAAAGGGCTGAAATGCAGCAGTGTAATTGACATAAGATTTCCCAGAAGTTGAAATTTCCCCCTTCCCCCTACCCACCAAAGGTCCCTCAAAAGGTGCCACAAGAGCTTTAAATGGTGAGGAAATCTTTAGTTTCCAAAAACAGCCAGCAGCCAATCAGTTGATGAGCCTTTATAACTGGAACCTCTTTTGTTGGGACACTGTAAAACTCCAGCATAGATGAATGGACAGCATTTATATTTTGTGTGGATTCTGCAGTATGTGTGTCTGACTCTGATACACTTGCAAAATTCTGTAAATGTTTTTCCACTCATAAGCTTCAGATTCCAGAAAAATGAACAGAAACAAGTATCAGAGAAGATAATTAAATACTGGCTTTATACCTGAGAGTTATTAACGGAGAGGTTTTGCTGTTCGTCTGGTTTTGTGTTTTCTTCTTCCTCCTCACATTCTAAATTTAGCTCTGTAAATGGCATTATAATAAGTCATACAGATCTTCAGGAAAATTAACACAATTTTTTTTGCACTTAATACATTCTCAATATATGCCCCCAGAAGAAGAGAATGGTAAATCACATCTCAGTACGCTCTATCTAGAAAACCCTGAAAAGCGTTGCCATAACTCAGAATTTATTTGATAGCACATGATTATTATTATATTATTATAATGGGAATAACAGGGATCATGGCTATAGTTTATCACAGTTATGTGAATGAGAGGGAGGTCCCTCGTAAGAGTTAGAGTCAGGGGCTAGGAGACACATAGGTTGGTTCTTAGCCCCTTTCTATCAGTTTCAAAAGATATTGAATGGTTTAGAAATTGAAATATGGACTGTTGACAGCAGACTATGAAGTCCAAGTCTAGAACTAAATTAATGTTATAATGATTAAAGTGTAAGCAGAATGCTATCTACTCATAAGCCTTCTAACATGGGAGTGGTGAATGGGTAGCTCTTGTGACGTTGCTGCCCTGGAGATTTCGTGATCTTCCCCATCGGTTATGTTACCTAGAGCTGATGGGAGCAGCAGTCAAATAATACCAGGAAGACCACCCTGTTCTAATGATATCACAGTTGATCATGCTTATATTTTGTAAGCTGCAGAGTATTACAATGTTTGTTATTTTTTAAAAGAATTTTTGTAGACAGAGAGAAGAAAAATGTACCTGTTTTGCCAGAAAAATCGTAAAAAATATAGGAAACGATGATACTACTACCCAGTCCAGTTGCTAAGCACCACTAGAGCAGACCCATTGTATCAACTACACATACTAAATTATAAATTCCACAGATTCCATGGGTTCTCCTTTTACCTCCAGCATGTACAGATCTGCTTGTGTTTCTTTGCTGTCTTCCTTTCTCTTTTGTAATAAAATCTTCCTGCATGAAAAGCATAAACAAAAAACAACTTTAGCCAAGTGAATCTTTCGGCAGGACATTCCTAAAAACAGGCAATGCAAACAATGGTATCTGGAAATTTTAACACACAAAATCACTGAATCATGGCAAATTCTTTTTTAAAAATCCTTACATCCATGTCCTGTCCTTGTCCTTTGTCGGGATGTTGCGTCTTTGGAGAAATCAAAGAATTGCTTTGCCTTAGTATGGCTTTATCAACATGCTCCATTCGATCCTTCTCCGTTGTCACTTTAAGCCTCAGCATATGGAAAGGAGTGGGAACCTCACCAATATTTAGGTACATGGGCTCCCCCTCAAATGTCATCCCTTCACAGTCACCTTCTCTGAATCCTGGAGGCTGGTAGTCAGCAGGAGTCACTAAAAAGAAAAGTTAGCAATGTTCTAAAATGGAAATATTTGTTGTAATGTGTTTCATGGATACAATTTTGAATAATAAGAGGGACATTATTGCTTATAGCAGGAGAAAAACTGACAGTCATGTCTTTCATCTAAAATATCCAGTTTCTTGTAATGTGTATGACAAACAGTGTATGATAAATCACTGGCATTGCTGGTATTTTGGATATCTGTTGATTTTGCGAAGTGTACCTTTAGGATAAAAAAGAAGCATAAACAGACAATCATACACAAACAAGCTCTGAAGGAAGAAAAAATATCATTTTGACTAAAGTTACACAGGATTAAGATTTGTACCTTCATCATAATAGAATAGTTTCATAGTCAGACAAACATCATCAGGGAGAGGGCCAAGATTCTGCATGAGGACGTAGATCTTCCTGATCAGCAGGATACTCGCTTTCTTAGTATCAGCACACGTGATGCTGGAATCACTCACCTGGTTTTTACTGGAAAATACAAAATAGCTATCAGCTGAATTGCAAGGAAAAGACAGCAGGTGCCCCACAAGCAGTCAGAAAGGGATGGTCCTGCTGGCTTTACTCTTCCCTCCACAGAGCTCACTCACTTCTCCTCAGCTGCACGGGTGGCTCACGTGCTAGTCTTTGCAAAAACGTTTCCTGTCCCTTCCCGAGAAAGGGCGCAGAAATGGACAACTAGAATGACCAACAGAGTAATCTAATACAAATGACTGACAAGAGATTTGGGACGGACAAAAGACATGACTTTTTCACACAGTGCACAATTCCTTTACAAAATGTGCTGCTGTTAAGATGGGGGCTACCAGCTTAGAAGCGATTAGAAAAAATAATGCAGCGATGGAAACACATAACAGTGGTTCTACTGAACCTCCAGGTTCAAAAGCTGTGTATCAGCTGTGGAGAAGCAGCAACAGGAGACGGTTATATGGCACTCATGCTTTGCTTGTGGGATTCCTGGGAGAATCTGCTTGTCCATTGTGGGAAACAAGACGCTGGAGTAAATTCAGCAATCCCAGGTCTAGCGGGGCCATTCGTATGTTCTGAAAACCAAGCCATACATTAGGACGAGGCATGTGTAAGAGCCAATCCTTAGGTTCTGGACTGCTTGCAAAGTTTGCACAAATAAGGGACCAAAAGTGATCTACCTATTTAAAACAGACTGCATTATTGGGGGGAAGGACCACACAAAAATATTTCAGCAAATTCATGACTGAATTTTCTACCAGGAAAGTTTGTACTTTCCTGGTACAAACCCCAGAGAGGCAGTTCCCCTTACTAAGGTTGCCAGCCTGGCAGTTATGTGTACTATGCCAGCAGTTCATGGTATAAAACAAAACAACAACAAATAAAATATATACTGTATATGTAACTTTATATGTTTGTGCAGGAAAACTAGCAAAATAATGTTTTCTATTTGATAATACTTCCCAAAGCAGTTACATTGTGATTTTCTGCCACAAAACAAATGTACACAGTAATGAACACAGGGCCATGTTAATGTTAATTTCCTAGAATCCAACTGAAAGACAGCTAGGGAAACATACTGGAAAGCTGAATGGTGAAAGGGAGGAAATGAAAACAGAATACCTTGTGAAATCCATTGATGGTCCTTTTTCAGTATATTTGAACTTAAATTGGTAGCATTCTGTAACTGTCTAAACAGAAAATGTAACAGTTACACATCTGGAACATAACAAGGGGAATGGAGAGTGGAGTATAGCAAAATATCTGTTTTGTTGTGCTCTAAAGTATTAATCCACATAGTCAAATATATTTTTCCAGTAGCGATGTGAGAGCTGGACCATGAAGAAGGCTGACTGCCGAAGAATTGATGCTTTTGAATTGTGGTGCTGGCGGAGACTCTTGAGAGTCCCCTGGACTGCAAGGAGAACAAACCTATCAATTCTAAAGGAAATCAACCCTGAGTGCTCACTGGAAGGACAGATCCTGAAGCTGAGGCTCCAATACTTTGGCCATCTCATGCGAAGAGAAGACTCCCTGGAAAAGACCTTGATGTTGGGAAAGGGAGAAGGCAAGAGGAGAAGGGGGGTGACAGAAGACGAGGTGGTTGGGCAGGGTCACTGACCAACATTAATTTGACCATACTCCAGGAGGCAATGGGGTCATGAAGAGTCGGACACAACTAAACAACAACCACAAAAGTATGTTTCGTTTTCCTTCATCCTCAGGAACTCAAGATGGAGGAAAAGTTTCCTATCTCGCACCATTTTTATTTTACAATACCCCTCCGAGGTAGGTTAGGCAGAGAGAGCGAGAGCGAGAGCGAGAGCGAGAGCGAGCGAGAGGCCTCTGGTCATGGTTGCATAAGGATTTGATCCTACGTCTTGTCAGTTCTATTCCAACCACTGCACCACTCAAAAGCAATATATCCTGATTTTGTACACATTAAACCTTTCAAAGTAAATCCAAGATTATGCACATGCATAACAAACATTTCTGAGCCCAAAAGACATTTTAGTTCTAAGTAAAATGCATCTGGTGACATCTAGTGGCTGACTGTTTTATTATTGTGGGACAACTCCTGGGGGTTGCTTTGTCTTCTTTAAAGCAACAACAGGACAAACTAGTTTTAAAGCTGTAGGACTAAGAGATTAGATTTCCCCACACACCATTTCTCAAATATATCCAAAATCTCTGTTTGCCCTCTGGATAAATAGGCAGCATGTTTTGAATTAAATATACTGGAGGTTATACAAAGGTAGAAGACAAAACTGTCAAATTCTGCCTATAGGGCAGGTAATTGCATTACGAAAACAAAACAGAACAAAACAAAATAAAAAACATTACCTGGAAGCACCTGCCGTGCAGTAATTTAATAATCCAGGTTTAGCAATCCTGTTCTACCACATACCTTCATAAGAATTATGAGGGGCATTGTAATTAAATGTAAAGTAGAGTAATCTAAGAATGTAATTATGACTACAATAACATCAGAAACATACCTGTGGGTCATCTGGATTAGTATACACCTGAATTCAAAGAGAAATAACAGTATCAAGCAATAACAAAAATAAAATACAGAGGACATTAATCCCTCTTGAAATGATCAGAATGTGTGGAAATGTTTTCTCAAACTTACCGCCAAAACGATTAATCTGAGCTGTTTAGAATATGAGAGGGGAAAATAATAAAAGGAAATTATAAGCATTTTTACCAAGTATAATAACAAACTGAGTCTGAGAACATAATGTTCTTCATTTAAAATTCAATTATATGTAGCTTACATATTTTTTCTGCAGTGCATCGTAGCATCCCAACATCCTGCAGAAAAATCAAACATTACACCAATTTCAGTATTTCTTTATACAGAAAGAAACATTCAGTAGCATGTATTGTGCAGTTTTCTATTCTGCTATATTTATTTATTTATTTATTTATTTAATATCCCGCCTATCTGGTCATTAATGTTTAGTATTAGTTTATGGGTTTGGCCAAGTAAACACTTACATATATATCTGTTATGTGCCATCAAGTCCTGGCAGGACTTTCAAGATCACTGAGATATTTGAGTGGCTTTCTTATGTAGTTCCACAGCCCCAGGGAGCTTCCACGGCTGAGCAGGGATTCGAACCCAGGTCTGTCATTCTACTGCACCACACTGAGTATCCCGCACTCACCTTTACTCTGAGTTAAATTCACAGAGAGAGAGAAAGATATCTCAAGAATTTCATCTCTGTCCAGCACTGGGCTACCAGTACAACGTAGCCACTGTTGTCTGCTGGTACAGCAATTTCATAAAGGGCTTAGAAATCACAAATTACATACCATTTCACCAGCTGACTGGAACTAGGGCAGTTTTTATCTTCTCTCAGTATTTTCACACAGAGGTCTCGGGGAAAAAACAGAATTAAAAGACATTTTAAAAACTTTTGGTAACAGTATCAATCACTGATAATTTGTATAAATTTAATGTATCTGCAGGGAGAACTTTTAAGGCATGGGGAAGTGTGCAAATATGTACTGAAATGTATGCAGGGGGTCTGTTTGCAATACTAAATTGAAAATAGTGCCCCTGATCCAGCTTTGTCCAAAAACATATTGATGTGTGTAAGTGAGATACAGCCACAACAAATAATACACTCCTTTACATTCAGCAGATGCTTCTGCCGAATGTAAAGGAGCATCAAAATGCAGTTGAGTTTTGGCTGCTTGTGCATAAATCAGCTTTTATGGATGAATCTCCTAGTTTGATTTGCCTTGTGAACCACCCAGAGTGGCCTTGGTAGCCAGATGGGCAGTATAAGGTAAAAGGTAAAGGTAAAAGTTCCTCTTGACAATTTGTCCAGTTGTGTCTGACTCTAGGGGGCAGTGCTCATTTCTGTTTCCAACAAAGTCATAAATAAATACGGATCACACCACCAATAACGACTTATGTTGTAAACTGGCCAGTTTCATGACATCTAGCTCAACAAACAACTTTATCCCTGTGATTTCTTGCCCATCAACAGCACTTTTGTGGCAACAGCTTTAAACCAACTAAAGCCGTGCCCTACACACAGGTACTAAAACTTTTAAAATATTTTTTTTTCTATGCAGAAATGTGATTACCATCTAAATATCTGGTTCCATAGGCATATTCTGGAAATATTCCTCTTAGGTAAGTAATGCAGGAGACAGCTATGGCCAGCAGCCTCTTCACCAGGACCAGCGATTGCTGCTCGGTTGTTATTTTGTTGGGAAAGATTGCGGCACTCTAGAAATAAAGAAAAAAGCCTGCATCACCCCAAACACATTCTTGTCTCCACAAGCATGCATTTTTAGGATTGTTCAATCTTGGTAATGGCACGGATGACACGATAGCTATCATGCTGGCTGGGGATGATGGGAGATAAGGTCTCAGGCATCTGGAGTGCACCAACATCCAGAGGTCTTAGAAATCTAGTATATAGGATTACAACCTTAATCTTTATATATCTTAAGCCTAAATGAAGTAAAATATATGGACCCATACCAAAGAATTCCTTTGCTTCTGGGCTGTTGCCATGCTTTCAGTTCTTCCTGGCTATTTCCTTTAACTGTCGATACAATTGTTGCATTAATGCATATGCTAGTTTGGCTTTTCAGAACATTATTTATAATAATGTAATATTTATTTATTTAAAAGTTAAAACACACTTTTGTTAAGTACTGGATCATTAAATACTGTACTAAATTTTAGAGTATTGTTAATGTTTGATCTTTTCATCAATGGACTGATGAAAAATTGAACTGAGATGCTATAATTGGGCACAGAACTTGCAGAGTTAAATGTGTGTACAAAGCCGGATTAGAAACAACATTTTACAGACCAAAGGTGGGCCATAAGCAGAAGAACTGGGATGGGTATCCCTTATTTTAATAAATCGCAACCTGTCACAAGGCCCTCAGACCATAGGGCTTCTTGGTGATTGCTACGTGTTTTGAGTGGAAATTGCCTTCCATGAAAATACTGTTTACTCCCCACAAGATCCTAGATCTCTCTCTCTCTCTGCTTTGGCAAAGAGCCATGGACTTGTTCCACCAGAGGACGTGAGGAAAGGCATCACTTTCCTCTCCCAGCTCCCTGCTCCTAACCCGTGTACATTACAGCATAGCTACACAGTTCACCCAAAAAGTGGCAACCAAAACCCTGGTTGCCCACTTTCCAGGTGGAAATAGAATAAACATGGAGGGGGACTGATGAACAGTCCGGGACAAATTTAAAGACCATCTGGACGCAGAATTTTTTGTCTCCCTCCCCTTATTTTTTTATATAATCTTATAGGTTAATGTTTACATTGTTGTTAGTTTTTATTGTATCATTGATATGGAGTAATCATCTACTGTTTTATGTCTTATTTTGGTGTTTTGCGCCATTCTGGGCTTTTTATTTATTTATTTATTTATTTATTTATTTATTTATTTATTTATTTATTTATTTATTTATTTATTTATTTATTTATTTGTAAGAGAGAATGACATTAAAAACATTAACAAAAGAGGAGAGAAGTTAAAAAAACAACAGCCCTAACCCTTCTCTTGATAAATCCCATCCAAGATCCTTGTCGCTCAAGG